AACTTGGCTAACATCATAGAATGCTAGTGCCATGCACGGTTCTAAGTACCTTTAAATGTATGTTAGTTTCATTTTCTCTCACATATTCCCACTTTACAGATGGTGAAACCGAGTCATAGAAAAGGTAAATAACTTTCACAAAGCCATACTACTGATAAGTAGTGGGGTCATGATTTGAAATGTGGCAGTTGAGTCCGCAGCTCAATGTCCTGTAATCTATACTGTCCTTCCTTTTCCACACAGGGAGTTTGGAGCATTGGAGGGTTTTAAAGCCCTCTGTCACAGTGGCGCATATGACAGTTTAAAGGCTGTAGTAGCAAGCTTGGAAACAGCCTACTGTAAGAATTGAGGCAAAGAATGATGAGGGCCTGAACTTAGAACAAAAGTCTTTAGGGGGTAAAAGCCATAGGACTTACTCTTGATTTGATGGAACCAGTAAGGAATTTCTGGCTTAGAAAACTGGGTAGATCTTGGTACCATTAATCAGACTTGCTAACAAAGAAGGAGGATTCAGTTTGGGACAACTTTAGTTGTGGTGTCCATGGCATATTCAGATACAGAGGTCTAGAAAACAGTGGGATATTCAGGTCAAGAGATCAGAAGGTAGAGCTTTAGAATGGTTACCTAAGGGTGTTTGAAAACCTACTCACCAATGCTACCAACCACTGAGAGCCTCTGCTGAGATAAGAGGACCATAAAGGAAACTCTAGCGCACTGCTACTCAAAATAGAGTCCACAACTGGCTGCCTATCCACCAGTTTATTTCTAGTCCATGATAACGTCAGGGATGTACTTCAGAATGTAAGCAACTTTGTCACTAAGAACACTGTTTACTTTGGCTGACTTTTAAAAAAAAATCTTAGCAAGACTTTTTGATGAAGGAAGCGTTGCATTGCATCCTGATGCCAACTCCTTATTTTGTCCCAAAGCAGCACTTTCAGTGTCACTGATGGAGACAAGACTAACAGTTAAGCTTCAGGCAGAGGAAGAGGTCTCCAAAGAGACTGAGAAGAAATAGTGTGAGTGGTAGGATGAGAAGCAGAAGGAAGGGAAGTCAGGTTCTTCTAATGGTACATAGTTTAAAGGAGCAACAGCACAGCCACAGAGGTGTCAAATAAGAGTGAGGACTAAAAAACAATTATTAGATTTGACCATTATAGGGTCATCAGCAACATTTTAGGAGTTTTAACCCCGACTTACTCCTCTACCTTCTGCTGTCTCATTTTTATCCCACCAATATACCTAACAAATACTTCTCAGATCTGTACTTTCACCATGTGTACTAAAGACCTCTTTGGCTCTGAAATACTCTTGGATTCACTCTTCATTTTACTTTATCTCTTGGCCAATCTGAAGTTATTGATCCCTATCTCCTTCCTGAAATATTCTTTCCTCCACACACCCCACCCATCTTCCTCTGCCTATCCCTTCTACACACACTGTGTGTCTTTAATTACACTCATTTCTTTAATTATATTATACCTGGCATTAATTTCCAAGCCTAAACCCAGCCCACATTTCTTCTCCGAGTGTCAGAGCAATCTAACAGGCTACTGGACATCTTTACTTGAATGCCCATAGACTCTTAAAGTTCAATATGTCCAAAGCTGAACCTGAATTCTTACCTACACTCTTCCCTATAACCCCTTTTTCTTCCTACGTCCCATACCTTGTATTACAATCTGCATGAGCGTTATCTTTGACTTCCTCCTCCTACCTTATTCAGTCAGTTATTGGTTTTACCTTCTAATGACACTTCAAATCTGTAACTCTCCCTCCTCCCCACTATCTGCATCCGCACCACCATCATCCCTCACCTGGATTATTGAATTATCCTCTTGGATGGTCTCCCTTTCCCAGTCTTCACTTGCCTCCAATACCCTCACCAGATTGGAGCTAGAGTCATCTATCTAAAATGTAAATTTGATTGCATCACTCTCTCGTTGAATTCTTTGCCTGCCGCCCCAGCCTCATCTCTCTACTCTTCCTCCAGAGATTCAGGTCGGATTGATTTTTTTTCAGTTCTTCAGCATGCTCTCTGTCTCTGCACCTTCACACATGCTCGTGTGCCTGCCTGGAGCATATTTACATTCCCTTTTTACTAGTGAGCTTGTCTTCCATCTTCAGGAAACTTCCATACCCCTGTAAATTTGAGTTATGTGGACTCCCTCTGTGGTCTCCTAGCATTCCTCCTTTCCCTTGTCATAACCCTTTCCACATTGTTTTGTGATCTCCTTTTTTTCCATCAGTCAGTGCTTTCCTTTGAATTTTAAGCTCCAAGAAGGCAGGAACCATATCCATTTAGTACATCATTATACTTCAAGCTCCAAGTACAGTGCCTAGAACAGTGTGAACATTCAATCAATGTTTCCTAAAGGATGTGAACGCTCTTCTGAGTTCTTTCACATCCATTATCTTAGCAGGGGTAAAGTTGAACAGTTTGAAGAGGATTTTAACGAAACCTGAGATGTTGGTGGATTAGAAGATTAAATTATTTGTTGAGTTGTTTTGCACTAGTAGGAGGAAGGAGAAGTTAGAGGCAGGAGAGGAGGTTAGGAGAGTAGAAGGATTTAATTCCACCTCATAGAACAAAGAGGAAGAGATTTGTTTAAAACTAGCTTGCATCGTTTAAATTTCATCTTCCTTCTAATAAATTGAGGCCTGTAAGGTAGGTTTGTGTGTGTGTGTTGTGTGTGTGTTAATATTTAAAGGTGTCAGATTGTCCATGTTTTAGGGCTTTTTATCTCTACCTGGAAAAACTTTAGATAACATGATTTAAAAATCTTCCTGTATGCTTTGCTCATTGAATTTGTTTTCTTTGAGGGGAGGTTTACAGAAGTGAGTAATCAATTTAATTATAGCTTTGCTATTTCCAAAACAAATTGAGATGGAATATATTTTTAAAGATTGAATGGGGTTTTTAGAGCCGAGATAAAGAAGTAAACACCAAGAAATAAAGGAATGGGCAATCAATAGGAAGATATCTAGGCTAAGAAAACCTAGGTAAGATAAGTTACTTTGAGGACAAAATTAACTCTAAACTATCTGGAAGTCAAGGCAAAAGACGGAATGTGATAGATACATTGCTTGATGTCTTTTGGCTTCTTCTCAAATATGAACTTCCAAAAGCAGGAGAGCTCGCAATTGAAGATAGACTTTGCAGTCAACTGCTTGAAGTACAGGTCGAATTTGATGCCAGCTGTGCCAGTTGCAAAGTGACTGCTTCATTTTGAAACTTTTCAGAAGATTGATATGTGTCCTGTCTCGGATGGTGGCTATATTCTGTATGGAGATGTAGATTGCAGAGTATTTAAAGAAAAGGAAGGCCAAGACTTTTTTCTCAAAATACAAGTTTGAATCCATTGAGCTGCTTAAAAACTTGGAGCTCCTAAATCTCTGTAAAATATGGAAAAGAGAAGCTTCATTTGGAAGGTCTTGAGGAGAGGATGCACAGTCATCTCCCTCTGCAAGCAAAGGATCTAATGTAGATTTCGAGATTTTGGCTTAACTCTGACCAGCCAGCACTGTATTCTAACAGTTCTACAAAACAAGCTAGCTCAAAAATGCTTCCCCAATAATTACCTAAACTGACCATTGAGCGGAGTTGTTTTGAACTTTGTGGCCGTAATTAACTAATAGGCTTGTAAGTCATTAAGGTGGTTTCTAGGTATGAGGATCATGTGTCCGGTTTCTATGAGGAAGTTCGCCATCCTGTGTGCTGTGGCAGAGGGCATGAAAAAGTCTCATCTAAAAGTGCTAGGAATCTGTTTAGGTTTTAAGGTTAAACAGGAGGTAAAGGCTGTTTCATCTGATTTAGAAATGGAATTTACTCCGTCAAAGTCCATCTGATCTACCTTGACTCAAGGCTTAAAATTGGAGGTGATACTGTGACCGCATGGTTTGACACATGGCTGGCCTTGTTGGTAGAGTCAAGGCTGATAGCACATTAATGAAGGTTAGCAGGTCTTCACCCATTCTCCATCGTTTTCTGTTTGGTGAAATGTAACATCAACAATGTCTCAGTAAGAATAATCATTCCTCATATTAGATTGGGAGATTCCAACCCATACCGAGTAGAGAAATCTGGCAGAGAGTTCTGTGGGGAGAGACAGCACAGTGGCTCAGCTGGAGTTTGGGAAGGTGGAGATTGTCTGATGAGTGAACTGGATGAACGGAGAAAAAACCATATGAAGGGGAGAGTAAGTGATTTTTGGTTCATTCCAGAAACAGGCTAAGAATCTCTCCCTAACCCCACAACCACTGCCCAGCCATTCCTCTGTCCTGGTTGGGGGTTGTCCTTTATTTTGTGGTTTCTGTGTGATTATTTCCATGGTTTCTCTGAGGTACCCCAATGAATAATTTTAATATGCTGCCTGTTTGGGATTTGGGGTTCAAAAAGACCAAGACACAGGAAGAACCTGTGATGACTGCTGTGCAGAGTATGGGCATTGCCCATGCATCTGCTCTCGTTATTGATCACTCCCTTGTTCTCACAGAAAATGAGGGAGAAAATGAAGATTTTAAATTTTCAAAGAAAAATCTCCCTGGTGATTCAGTTTTCCTTACCCCAGAGCTGATTTTTCTTTTCATTTCTTTCCTTGAACCAGAGCCTTTTCTTAAGTTGGGAAGACGAATGTGTGGACATCTCAGTATGGCCAGGTGCTGTTGGTGGAATGAAAGAGGCAAATGTGGAAGTGGGGATGGAGGCACACTGTCTAATCATAGAGAACCACAAAGAAAATCTAGGCACCTTAGTACATCCTGTTGTCTCTCACCCTCAATTAAATTTTAGTTATTTCTGATCACACATTCCTTCAAAACAAGTCTTTAAAATGAAGTATCTCATAAATTATTTACCAATGCAAGCAACAGGTAATATAGAATTTGAGGAGAATAAAATGTACTTTACTCTTCAAACTTCCCTATGAATTAAAACAAGGTTAATCTCGGCACCACGGTGATAGAACCAAGAGATGAAAGGCCTTCCCGTATTTCCACAGAGTACAGTACAATCCACAGCCCAGCAACACCCATTAAAGATTCAGATTCCGATCGATTGCGTCGAGGTTCAGATGGGAAGTCACGTGGACGGGGCCGAAGAAACAATAATCCTTCACCTCCCCCGGATTCTGATCTTGAGGTATGTCATTGTCGATACCCAAGTAAATAACAAGGTGTCTCGTAGCTAAATGGTGATTCTGTATACCTGCTATGTAAATGACAGGGATCAGGGTCTCTAAATTCTTTAGTTACTGCCTTCTTTTCCATATTAACTATAAGTAAAGCACTTTTTCTCTTTTCCATATGAATTATAGGTAAAGCAATTATTTGTTTTCTCTTCCACTTTATATAGTAAAGCACCTGTTTATGTCAAAGAAAATATAATAAATTGTACAGTTCTGCTTGAACAAAATTCTCTTGTACTGCTCTATATGATTGCCATTTCAATTAAGTAAGTGTTGTGCTAAAAATGCTTAGTCAAATCCACTTTGAAATTAAAGACACACTTATGTATGCTGAGACGGGAAAACCTGGAATGTTCTAAGCTGAACTGGTAATCATCTTATGAGCCATGTTTTGGTGGAGTTCAAAAGCAGGAGGGATTAAATAAAATCTTAAAAGGTGGGAGATTTCATAGGCTTGAATCCACTGCAATTAAGTTGCTGGGTTTTGCCAAAGTGAAATCTGATGGGGGAAAACATGATTATTTTGGCTGAAAAGAGGAAAATTTTCCAGCAGAACCTATGTGTGTGAATATGTACCAGTGCAAGAGGGAATGGGAAGGAGAAAAGCAGGACTTAGAGGCCCTTTGTGGTATCTCAAAGACCTTTTTGAAATGAGTTCCTTCAAATTCCAAATACCCCAAGTGTATGTCAAGAGCATGTGTGATGTGTCCGCCTAGATTGTTAACTATCTGTCATCTGAAGAAAATGGGGCAGGGACAATCTAGAACCCATCCATTTGATACCAACTCAATAGGTACATAAGGTGAATAGATATGTACAGTTTTAGTTTTTATTTGCCGTTTTTTAATACTTCGCTTGATGAGACTAAAACATAAGATTAGTTATTTTAACCCTTCTTAATGGACAGAGAGCAGAGATAAGGAAAAGCTAAACTGAGTGATTTTTAATTGATTGTCCCTCTCTGTCTCAGAAGTTCAAACAGACCCACTTTAGCTCATTTGTCATTTCTTCAGAACTAAGACTGACAAGCTACTGCAGAATAGAAAGGATGCATATTATTTTTCTTTCCTCTTTTTATATCATTGTTGCTAACATAATTATCCTCTTGTACCTCGTCTGAGGTTATATCTGAGAAAAGTTGGGAGATATTCTTTGGAACAGTTGGGTTTAAAAAAAAATTAGTAAATTCAGATTTTTCATTTGTCACCCATTTCAAGATGAACTTTTCATGTTGAAGTTAACTGAATAAAGGGTTCTCGGCCGAGGGAAAGACGCATTGATGTGGTTCTTCCTTTGTAGAGAGTGTTCATCTGGGACTTGGACGAGACAATCATTGTTTTCCATTCCTTGCTTACTGGGTCCTACGCCAACAGATATGGGCGGGTGAGTACCAAGAGGCATCAGTTTTTAATTTCTTTAGGGTAAATATGCCTAGAATTGAAGTTTTTGTCCAAATGGGAATGCAGTATAACTTTAAATAATAAATTTAAAATTCAAAAAGGAAAATAACTTGATTTATTGATGTAGTCAAATATATATGTAAGGCAAAAACATACGAATGAACAAAAGGAGATTTTTGTAGGTCCTTAAAAATGAGATAAACTTTGTGCAACTAAATTCCTTCTTATTTCAGATGCCAATGAATAAAAGTGATTGAATGCTATTCTAGGATGAAATATTCAATTATATAGATGACATAGAAAGAGCTTTTGTATTGTATTTTTTTATTTGCCCCTCTTTTTTATTCTCTTGATTACCAACGTATTCAATGGAGCAAATATTTTACTTGCTATTGTCTTCAGTGATTAGCAGTGTTAATATTTTATTTTCAAAGCACCTATTATGATTGTCTTTATAAGTCCCTTTGCTATAGGGCTAAATTTACATGAATGGTATGTAAAATTGGGCCTCTGAATGACAATAGACCAGCACATCCATGTTTGACTTGTTACAATACTTCTCTTGGTGTTGTAGGTAGAGAATAATATTACAGACCACCTTCCATGAGTAGAACTTCAGTTTCAATGTTCTGCATTTGGATTTCCCCAAATTGGAAATTCTTTTGGAAATTCTTTTTGATATATTGCTTGGTGGTTTCATAAGCGTTTCCTACACAAAAATCATGTTATTTAAAGTGGCTTTAGGTAATTTCTGAAATTACCCTGTGAATATGATATTTCTCATTTTTTTCATCTTTAAAGAAATAATATTACAAGTCTTAGATCCTTGAAGCTATTGGTTTGGAGCCTTAGGAACTGAATTTTTGTTACTTGGTGACTCCATGTGTTGATCATAATTAAGTGTTAAAATTTATACCCATAAAATTTGCATATTCTCATTACAGATTGTATCCAGGTATTCGTTCTTTCGATAAATATATATTGAGTGCCTGATCTGTAGGTACAGTCTTGAGGTGACAGTAGGGGAGTTGTCAGTTGAGCTTCACAGCACAGCTTTTCTTCTCATAACCCTAAAGATACACCTAATCCAAAAAGGCTGGGAAAATGCACATTTGTAAGAGCAAGAGTATTTCACCGTTTGAATTTCTATTTAGAAATAAGCTATCTATAAAACACAGTGTGCCCCATCTTATTGTTAAACCAATTTTCTATGAGAAGAAGACAACAAAAATACAGATTATAAAAAATAAAGCCATAGAATTAATCATTCAGAGAAAGTCTCTACTTTGTGGCTAGAACATAAGAGGGATCAATAAATATTAGCTGCCTTGTTTTTTGTATTACTCCTTCTATTAATGCTATTTACTATCCCTATTTCTACAAAAACTGCTACTTACAGAACTAATGAAAGATTAATACCTGAAACCTCAATGTGTTAGTAGGAATGTAGTTCGTAGGAAGAATCTTGAAGATCTTCGTAGCCGAACCATTTTAATATCCCTACAACTAACTCCTAAGGAAGAAAACTGACTGGAACTCACAGGAAAGCGTTGAAAAGAGGATGCACTTAGAAAACCAGCATTTGAAAACCATCCTGAAAGTCTCAAGTCTTTAAAAGCTTTCTCTCTAAGAGCCAAATTGATGCAAAGAGAGTTGTTTTGATCAGTGCTCTGTTAGCCATTGAAAGGGGTCAGCTTAGAGTGAGGTGGTGAACATCCCATGACCTACTGACCTCGTGTTAATCTCTGGCCATAAATTATTGGTTTACACATGGAATTCACACCTAACCTAGAAACCACTGGCACCTTAGAATCTTTCATTCAGATTCTGGACATTGTCTAAACAAAACATTACAAACACCATGACTTTTATTTTAAGTGTCAACCATTAGTATTTAGAGGCTTTGTCAAGTAGTATTTTGATTGTTAGTTTGTTTAGTTTTCTCAAACTACGGCATGTGATAAAAAGTTTTATCTCCTACAATATCCAAAAGCCAGATGTCTATATTCTTTCAAGTATGGGTGATTTGAGATATTTAAATGTAAGCTTATCCTTCATTTTTAAGTTGATGGGTGTCGGGGAGAAAGTAACCGCAGAAGGCCTGGTTGGGAAAGTTCTTCCCTGGCATGACTGAGCCTGAGGTCAGAATGACCTGAAGAGACAGGTCGGTAGTGTGACCATCTGGAGAAAGAGTGTTCTAAGCAGAGGAAAGAGCAAGTGCAGAGGTAAGAAAGGGTTTGATGTTTCAGGGACAGAGAGGCCAGTGTGGCCAACCTTAGTGATGGAGATGCAGAGTCAAGAGAGATGTAGGCTGGGATGAGGACAGGTACAAAGGGCCTCCCAGCCATTCACAAGAGGGTTAAGCTCATTGCACATGCCATAGGAAGTCATTGGAGGACTTCAAGGGAAGACATGAGAAGATCTGATTTAGATTTTTGGATTACTTTGGCTGTGTGTGGAGAATTAATGGTAGGAAGAGAGGAGCAGGGGAACAGAGGTGGGGTTAAGGAGTGATCTGATGCACTAGCAGCAGAGATGGAGAGAACTGAGTGGATTCGGGATTCTACTGCAGGTAGAGAAATAGAATTTGTAAATGATTTGGATGGGGCTGGTGGGCAGTAAGTAATAGAGAGGAGTGAAAAGATCATTCCTCGGTTTTTGTCGTGAGCAACTGGGAGAATAGTTGCATATTCGTTGAGATGAGGAAGAACTAATTTGGAGGGAAAATGAAAAGTTCGGTGCTGGACAAGTTTGAGATGCCTATTAGACATCCACGTGAACCAAGGCAAGGAGGCAGTTGGAAGGTGAGCCTGGGGTCCAGGGGAGTGGTCAGGGCTGGAGAGGTCAAATTTAAAGTCATAAGTTCACAGCTCAGGTTCAGAAGCTCCCCAGACACTCTTAGCTTGATTTCTCCCTAAATGTTTATGAGCACCTTCTTTGTGCCGGGCACTTGTGGTCGGCCTGTCCTCCCATTTCCGGGAGGCATTTCTTCCTGACAGGTTGACTTTTGAAGACATATTGCTGAGGATGTTGAATTGTAGCCTGAAGCATGTGAGAAAGCTTGCTTAATGTTCTCTTTATTAGAGAACTTTATAGTTGGGCAGAATTTGCTCTCAAATCTGACAGTCATGCACTGTAAAAATGTGTGATTCAACAAGGAATAACCAAGCTAATCAGAATGTCTTGCATCCTTTTTGTTCCCCCAGGGCACTGAGGAGAGAAGTCTTAAACCAGTTCAGGGGCAAGTTGCCTTTCTTGGAGGACAGATTTAGTGGTGTTCCTGAGCATTGTCAAAGGCACATGTGGCCGAGCCTTACTCTACAGGCATATAAAGAAATGAATGCCTGACAATGTGATAGCTGTTCTGTCTCTATGGGAACCAGATACCTGAGAAGCAGCTTAGTCACAGTAGCTTAGGCAACTCAGTGAGTAGCCCATTCAGTAAGGGGATACAGGATCTAGTTGATATAATGCAAAATTAGGGCATGTTACAGCAATATGTACAAAAAAAGTTTGAGAATGTCCCACCTTCCAGGTAATCCTAGCTGTGGGAAGCAGGCATATTGGTGTTATAAGGAAGTGTTGTTTTATAACAAAGCTGACGAGAACAAAAGGAGGGTGCTAGGTACAGTACAGGTCTGGCTACGGAAGAGAAAAGAAATAGCATATTAGCAGGAAAATGAAGTCTATGGGTGTTACTGTAAATTAAGTTGTTAATAATATCTGTCCTAGCTTTCTTCATTTAATGCACTTTTAAAAATTGCTTTCAAACTAAATCCAAATTCCCAAATTTCACTGAAGAAAACCAGTCTTGATTTTTTTTTCATTGAATGCTCTCTTTAAAATAGACAATATTAATCCAGTTGCTAATATCAAAGCACACACCCCAAACTTATATCTCAAATAAGTATTGTGCTGATGTTCCAAGCATGATTCCCCAAGATATTTGTACCCAAATGTCTTGTTTCATACTTGTTTTTTATTGTTGCGTAACACCTATGTCTTGTACAGATTTGGGCTAGAATAGGTCTTTTTTTATTGAGCCTTGCTCCTCATTGTACGCAAAAACCTAAACATGAACACTGAAGACAGCATGAAGCTTAGCATTTTTAATGGTAGGCCCTACTTATTAAGAACTTCCTATGTGCCCAGTACTCATTTAATTCAACATTAATGCTCTGAAACTGCTATTATGAAGCCCATTTTACAGATGAGGAAACTGAGACCTGGAAGAGGTTAAAGATGAAACGTGAAAAACGCTTAGCACCATGTCTGGCACAAAATAAATATTAGTTGTATTTTAGCGTAGTTGAACCTTGACTGTCAAAAAAGACAATATTTGAACCTGGCCTAGTGACCAGTGAGTGATATGTGGAAGCGTCTTTAAATATATGAAGTACCAGTATGTGACACCCCTTATGGTGTGATAGAAAGAGCATCAGATTTGAATTCAAATAGATCTGGACTCATAGCCAAGCTCTCACTTTTCACCTCTTTAACTTGGGCAAATTGTTTATTCATGCTGAGCCTCAGTTTCCACATCCATACAGCTGGCTACTTGACTTGCAAAATTATTTTAAAAATTAAATTGTTATATTCAGTTGTTAAGTTACATCTCAATAGAGCTGGAGGGAAAAAAGATTTAAGTTGTGTCATGAATTTAAAGGCCCAGCACTGTGTCTTATTAATAGCAATAACCCAATAATAAAAACAGCCTATGTCACTGATTGATTTTGTATCTGCTGTCTAAGCATTTGTTTTATAATGCACCAGTCTTCTAGAAGGATCCCAATTGTCATGGTGAGTTTAGATCAACTACGTCTCCCCAGTAAGTGTAGTACTATGATCATTTAGTTCAGTGATGAAAGAAAAATTTGACAGCAATCTCTCTAGCCCAGTTCATCAGAACACTCCAGTTAGCTGGTAAAGATCCCTGTTCTTACCCTGTTTTAGGGTACAATGCTAAACTCCCAAGATCTTTTG